CCGCCCTGCTTCGTCTGCGGCGTCTCCTTGCCTTCCCGCGCTGCCGCCTTGTCGCCGGCTCTCGGGGCAGAGCCCGCCCTCCCCTCGGTGCCCGGTCTGGTCTCCTGAGGCAAACCTTTCCTCTGCCCCCCTCCATGCAGCACCTGGGGCTTGAGCGTTAGCTAGGCAAGACTGAGGGGAACGTGAAATGGCAGTTTAAGTTGCCGGGGTTCCTCTTGTTCGGGAGCAGCTCAGCGTGTCTGCCTTTTCCGTTGGGAGACAGGCAGCTCATGTCTGAGGGACCCCGAATTCACTGCGTGTTAAAGTACTTGCGAGGTGCTGTGGTGGGAGACGTACGCAAAGAAAGCGGTTCTCTGGCAAACATGGTTTCTTTATTTTGAAGCCTGGTAAAAGACATAAACAGAAAACAAGTGCAATGTAATAGGCTCCCTTAGTACAACAGGAGGCAGTGAATCACAGAGTAACAGAATAAATTAAAATGTGGAGCCTTTAGCGCTCATGAGACTTGAGAATGGGGGCAACCGCTCTCCTTCTCATGTTTAACCCAAGGTGGTTTTTCTGCTTCGTTCATTAGTTAGAAGATTAGAAGTTCCAATTGTCCTAACAATTGGAATTTTCCTTTCTTATTTACAAGTGCGCAGGGGAAGAGTTTCATCTTTCTTCCAAAAAAAAAAAAGTGGTATAGAATTGATTGTAAATGTGTTGTGTGGGAAGGTTACTTGTCTTCCCTTCAACCTGTTCAAAAAAGTGATTTTTAAAATAGACATTACATTGTATTAAAAAACCTACCATACTAACTTGTCTAAGGAATCAGATCCACGTGGGAAACGTACTTAGCTACAACAGCAACAAATATAGCATAAATAATGCTACTACAATGTTCTCCCTTTTCAGTTTAGAGGGTGAAGAAACTGAGGTTTTCCTCTACGAATGGTATTGATTTTGTAGATGTGATATGTTTTTTCCTTAGAATCTAATTTTTGTCGAAGTTGTCTAAATCGCTTTTTTTTGTGGTTACAGAGTTCAGTTTATTGGCAGCGCCATTAGCACATTTTTGCGGAAGCTCTTTGTTGTAAGCAAAGCTTCATTAAAGTCAATATTTCCTATGTGTATGGCTGTATTTCTACTGGTGAGCAATACTGTGACTCATCTTTAATCAGAAAAATGTCATTAGAGCTCACATTGGAGGTGTAAACTGAAGTCTCTTTGGGAGCTAAAACAAATTGTAAAAATGTTCTTCATATTAGAAATTAATTTTGCAATTTAATGTCTAAAATTCATCTTAGCGTTTTATTTCATTGTAGGTAATTTAAGTGACTTTCTAGCATGGACACTGTTGCTAGCCATAGTTGTCATCTTCTCCAGCAGCTACATGAACAGCGCATTCAGGGTCTTCTCTGTGACTGCATGCTGGTGGTAAAAGGTGTCTGCTTCAAAGCACACAAAAATGTATTAGCTGCTTTCAGTCAGTATTTCAGGTATGTGACAGAAAATTCTTCTATTAAAAAAGTGAACTAAATGCTGTTGGTTGAGAAGGGTATTTTTTTCTGGTAGTTGCAGACTAAGCAACTGTTGGAGTGTAAGGGGAAAAGTTAAATTGTTTGTCCAGAGATAAATCTGATTCAAGTATTTAGTCTAATTAAAAACTGTGGCCATCCTAATTTATTTTCTAGATATACATAGCTAACTACTACACTGCTTGAGTTTGGCATTTTCTTGATCCTTACTTGCTTACGGTACCTCATATAATGGATTCTGGCATGGACCTGCATTCAGTATTTCAGTATGAAAAGACAAGTGTTTACAAGGTGCATAGTAGAGTACATGAACAGAGCCAGATAAGGGATATTATATATTCAAAATAAAATTGACTATATAGGTTATTATTGAGTCTCTATTTAGAAGAGATTCTCAGAGACAACATCTGTGTGTTAAAGTACAGAGGTGGTCTCTGAAGCCACATCACTCGTTTCTTTCCTCTCTGTATAGCCCTCATTGATCCTCCAAATTTTGGGGGATGCTGGATCTCCCAACTTAGTGTTTTACGTTAGTTATGAGTAAGCTGTTAAATCTGGCAGTTTTTAGACCTTGTTTCTTGAAACACCTCTAAAGCTTGACTACCAATTCTTATGTAAGAAAATTATTTTTATGTTATGATCAGGGAAAAAAGATGAGAGATTGTTTTTCCTTTTTCTCTTCTAGTGTTGCAGTCCTGATGATGAAGTGAAATTATGCTCAAAGACTGAATTTTTAAAGTAGTTATAAAGAACTAAGCACTCAAGTCTGATTAAAATTCAATAGGATATAAGTGACTAATTAATTTAGACTCTCAACCCAGATCTGTTCATTAGAGTTCTGGTTTTAATTTAGATAGTATGGGCTGGATTTATAAAAGAATTTGGATGTAGGCACTGGCTTCAGAGTAGCATGTAATTAGGAGGATAAGACAACTTAAGTATGGGGATGCATCTGAAACCGCATTTCTAAGGTTTAAGGCTAGACTCATTTGCTTGAGATTCAGAGCTCATTGATATTATGCCCACCTTCAAACAAAACCTAATTTGACAGTTAACCCACAGAGGCAAATCATCAAGTTCAGGGCATTTCCTAGTGTAGGAAAATAGCTACATAGGAGTGACCTGACCTCATTTATACATCATCATTTACTGTGAGAGTCTAAGGCTAGAGACTGGGGGTTTTAATGGAAGGGTGTAAAGTTCCTGACTGAGGCACAGTATGAACCCACGTAATCTAGGACTGGTTACGCATTTGAAGTACTACAGCTCTGATGCTAAGAATACTTTGTAAGTATTCTTTGTAAGTAAATAGTAAAAAGACTTGTGAATTCAGACACTTTAAGGATTCAATGCCAATTCAGTGGGTATTGGCCTAAAACTGCTGTTTTAGGCTCATGTGCTTGTACTCTTCATTATTCTTTTACTTGGTTCTCAGCCACTACCAGTAAAAAAATACTTTTCTTGGATATGAGAGAATAGATTGAAAATAATGCCATCCTCTTGTTTGTTATTAACATCCGCCCATCTACTTGTGGAGAAAGAACTAATAATAATAACTTTAATAAGTTTGATGGACAAGCTCAGTTGCCAGAAGAGAATAGTTTAGCCGACTTTGAGGTCTATCTTCTCCTTTGTACTAGAAAATTTCTCATGTCCTGTTTTATTTGCCATGATGGAAGAAGAAACACCATTCTGAGTCAACCAACTTTTGCAAATAGTCCATACATACACCACTGTACTTAATATGTAAAGAATGTTGGATAGGAAACCACAGGTATAGGGTGTGATTTCAAAACATTAAAAACCAAAAAATTAAGGTTATATAAAGGATCATTTGCTTTGATTTATACTTTAAGTGTACTAGTGTAGGACTAATATATAAGACAAGTAATTGAGCAGTTTTGAGATATTCATCTGCAAAAACACAGCAATCTAGATAAGACCATATAGTGTAAATTGTTGTTTCATACCAGGCAGCCTGTTTGTGATGTATGTGTATTTTTTTATAAAAGCGTTTGTGAATTGTTTGTGTTTGAATATTTGCCTTATTTTATCAGGACCCTTTTCCAGAATTCTTCAGGCCAGAAGAATGATGTCTTTCACTTGGACATTAAAAATGTAGGTGGGATAGGCCAGATCTTGGACTTCATGTACACCTCTCACCTGGACCTTAGCCAGGACAATGTACAAGCTATGTTGGATATTGCACAGTGTCTCCAAGTGCAAAACGTGCTGAACATTTGCCACACCTTTTTAAAATCTTCTACAGCTGTAGAGCAAACAGCCAGCATGCCTTGTAATAGCGTATTTTCGCTGCAGAATACTTTGACTGCAGATACTAGCTGTGCCAGTGATAGTTATGGAACAAACCTATTGCATGAATGCTCCTCTGGCACACAAGCTAATAAAGTCTTGGCTGACCACCATTCTCATGCATCGCAGTCTGTTAATCTTCATGCACCCTCAGGTGACATACAGAAACAACCACAGGACTCCTTAGATGGCAACTGCACAGAACTCCCATTTAAGCAACCAAGTTACTATTATAAACTACGCAACTTTTACAGTAAACAGTTCTATAAGCAAAATGCTTGCTCTAATCATGAGAGAGCAGCAGAACAATCCTTTTCTTACAACACGTCTACAGTAATAAACACAGTAGAGAATAATTCTTGTACTGTCAGTCACTCTGAATGCATTCTGGAAACCTCTGATCATTTGCCATCAAACTTTCTGGTTCAGTCCTTGAATGAAGCCACTCCAGACCAAGATGCAGAAAGCACGCTTATGCAGCCCACCAAACAGATGCGGCTGAAAAAGGCAGTACACCTCAAAAAGTTAAATTTTCTAAGATCTCAGAAATCTACAGAGCAGCCGCCTGAGCCTAAAAGAGATGACAGTAGAATAACAGAAGTAATTGAATCCGTAAATGAAGGCACCATGGACATGGCAAACGTTGGAGTTACTGAAGAAAAAGAAGCTGAAGATTTAGTGAATTCTGAGAATTTTGAACAAACTGTTGAAATTGAAAGATCTCAAGGTCCTTTGGAACAAGAAGGGCAATCACACACTCTTCAGTTGCAGAGACAATATACTTGTGATTTATGTGGGAAGGCTTTCAAACATCCAAGCAATTTGGAGCTCCATAAAAGGTCTCATACAGGTACAGTTATCAATAACTTGGTCTGCACACCAAATATTTCTGTTAAAGAGGATGTCTTGTGGTATCTCTTGATTCAGAGATGCTGGTTAAGGGTCTGCTTTCAAAAGGGTGTAGGCTTTGTTTTTGTTTGGTTTTTTTGTTTTTTTTTTAATGAATAATCATACAGGAATAAAGGCTCTAAGACTGAGTTTAGCTGAGAGTTTTAGTTGTATTAAAGATTTCTCCTTCATATTTGGTTTTTTAGGGTTCTTTTTCAAAGAATGTTGTGTGATACTTTAATGAAAATTTTATTTTTGTCTTGCATTTAGAAAAGGCATTTCTAGTCAGTTTGTCAGATGGCCCACAAGTCTGAGTCAGATAACAATGAAAAGTGTAAATCCATAGGAGGCAATACTACAAGTGTTCTAGATGACCTCAGTTCTCTCTGATCATATATTCATTGTAAGATACAAGTGATTAGGGCTTGGTGGTCATTTCTTTTTAAGCTGTAGAAATATGCTGTATAATGAATTTATACTTTTTTCCTAGTGTGAACAACTTTCATTGCGTTTACCTAGAGTGTAATGCTCTTGCAGACAAGTAGGCTGCAGAGGGAATGAGAATTTTGAATTCCTTTGTTTTAAGAACTTAGAGGTAATATTATTTTTAAACCTAGCATAGATTTATTTCAAAGTATCTTTTTATTCTAGTGAAAAACAAGACCCAGTCTAACTTTGAATTAACTAATTTGTCTGTTCAATTTAACCAGCATGTTCTATTATATTTCTAGAACTTTAGATATGTTTCTTTAAAAGGGCTTTTAAGAATTACCTTAGTTAGCCAAGTAACACCATTGATTTCAAGTTCTTGAGATCACATTATTCCTGATTAAGTTGTTGAATATTTATTGCTGTTCTTTTTCCCTGTATTAAATATACAAATGCATCTCTCTCAATCTTGTCAAATAAAGATCACTTTGCAAATGAGCATACATGTATCAGTACTTTGACAGTAAATATGAGTCCCTCTTAGCAGACATTAATTTCTTTTGTTAATTGATCCTTATCATTAAGAATTTATTTTTCCATGTTATTAGTAGAAAAATCTTTCCAGAGCCTGAAAATATGAACGTTTTGCGTTAGCTTCCTGAAGTTTTCACTTGGTATCTTTGACTACTTCTATATGTTTACATTACTAATACTATTATTTGTTTTTTAATTTGGTCTCCCGTGAAAGAGTTGCATATGTCTCTTACCTAGATCTTCACTTTGCCTTGTATTTTTTTAATCTATTATCCCATTTGAGCTGACATCATCAGGTATATTTTAATATCTTAGAAATTTCAGGAAGATAGGTGATCAGATAGAAGACAGAGCATCTAGAGAAGTCCCAGCTGAGGGAGAGACTCTGAAGTCGGTAACATGTGAGTTTGTGCTAGATAATCTATGTGAAAGAGAGTCCCCAGCTCTGAGAAACCTGTTAGGACTTGCTCTTCCTTAGACATCGTAATCATTGGAAGGAATCTGGATTTTGTGAGTTCTGGTGCCCATAAAACTACTTGGTTTTTTTAAGAGTGTGTTGCCTGACTGATAGACTCAATTATTGTACGTTTCTGAATCTGCTAAACCATTTAAAACAGGAGGTTCAAAGTTTAGTTTACCTCTTCTAATATGTTGTAACTTAAAGGTCAGGGGAGTGGACTGGGTACTAAGCTTTGCAGAAGAAAGAGACTATAGCCCCTGATACAAGTATTTTACAAATATTTTTTTTCTTTAGACACAGCATGGCCAGCAAATGCTTACAAGTGTAGGAAATGGGAAAAGAGGAAAAGGGTTGCAGTAGCTTCCCAAGGTTATTTATGTATGTTGTAATTCATTTCTTTGTTGTTATTTGAGGTCTGTGTATTTACACATGCTTCCACTCCACTTAAGCTCTGGTAAGTGTTGTTTCACATTCTGCAGCACTGCCTGATACGAACTAGCTTTATACATTGTGTAAGAAAAGTGATCCTAGGCTTGGTTTTGTTGTTGCTGTCCTTCTCTACAAGGCTGAGTATACACTGGATTCAGGAATTCCATGCTGCTTTTCATACACTATGTTCTTCCAATAGTTTTCAAAAAATTCCAGGCTTGAATGCTACTTAACATGGCATTAATGTTCTTCTATAGATGTGTTAAACTGACAAAGTTTAAGAGCGTAAGTTTAGCAAATAATAAGCATATCAAAGAAAGATGGAAACACTGAGGCAAAAATATGACTAGGTATGCCTTTTTGCTTGCCTGTTATTTTTGAGTCATGTTAATTTGTTTTTAAATATCCGACTAGTGCAAAAAGAGTACTTGGAAAATTGCAGTGGATAGTGAGTAGGATGTTAATATAGGCAGGATCTGTAGCTGAAGGTATAGGGCACATCTGTATCTTTAATATTAGGTATACGGGTAGTTAAGTAATGTAAGTGTATGCTAAAAGCCATTTCCATTCATCTGCCACTTCAGAAAGCATAGGAAATTGTTAGCTAATCAGTTTTATTTGAAACATTCATTTTCTAGAACTGAGCAAAAGGGTTAGCAAGCATTTAAGTATTACAGTGCTTACTCAAAGTCCTCCAAATCTTGTTTTCCTGAAGAGATGAAGGAAGCAAGTTACTAAAATGGACCTTTCACAATGGCAAGCCAGTTTTTAACCCACAAATGACAACTCTTTCAATGTAAGTGCTGTGGTGGCCTGATTGTGGAGAATAAGCGCAAGTGAAGTTCTGTCCCTGAACACTAGGAACTGCTAAAGAATTTACAGGTTAACATGGTTGCATTGATGAGTTGGCTATGTGAAGGACAGGCATGCCGTGTTGAACACAAGTCAGTGTATTGGGTTGTCTAGCTGTTTTAATTGTATTGCTAGCAGATATTTAAAGGAATCTCTAACTAGAGCTTATTGCATTGACTTTAAGATTGATTTTGACTTGATTGAAAGTTATAATTTGTTTTTTATTAGATTGACCTGTCTGAAAAAAAGGAAGCAAATGTATCTCTCTTAGACAGTCCTTACCTATCCAGGAATGTCCAGTGTGGTTTTTTTTTTTTTAATATTTTCAGAAAACATGTCAAAAAACCCAAAACCCAACCCTGTGGAAAGAACTCTTGGCAGGATGGAAAACAAGAGCAGAGTTACACTGTCATGTAGTACATTGTTGACTCAACCTTTTCATTCTGAGCTTTGCTTGAGCAAGTTGCCAGCATTCCATGCCTTAGTGGGTCCTGCTCCTCACCTTTGTGATCTCTTCAGGAACACCGCTTCTGCCTTCATGCCTTTCTCCTCTGGAGCTGACACACCACTGCTTTGATCCCACTGCTGTGTACTTTATCTTCATCTCTTTTTGCAGAGTGTTGAACAAGAAGGATGCAACAGAAGATAGAAAACACAAGACAGTCCAAGGGTTCAAAAGTCAAGTCGCCTGGATGTTTGTTTAAGTATTGTCTTAATTGTAGCTCAGTTACTGCTTTTCCCCAAATTTTCTCTATTGCTGTTGATCCAGCTGTGGTCTTTGAGAAGATTAGTGTTCTTGGATAAGGTTTTGGTTTGGAATTTAATGACAGTCATAGAATCATAGAATAATTTAGATAAGAATGGACCTCCGGGGGTCATCTAGTGCAATCCTCTGCTCAAGGCAGGTCAAATTAGATTGGATTGTTTTGGTCATGACCTTGTGTAGTCAAATTTTTGATATCTCCAAGGACAGAGATTCCGCTACCTCTCCAGGCAATCAGTTCCAGTGTTTGACCACCCTCATGGGGTAAAAGATTCTTTTCTTATATCTAATCAGAATTTCTCATGATCTAATTTGTGCCTGTCACCTCTTGTCCTATCACTGTGTACCTTCAAGAACAACCTGGTTGCATCTGTCTTTCCATTACATGTAGGCAGGAGTAAGATTTCCTGTTTGCCTTCTCTTCTTAAGGCTCCAGATATGGTCTCACCAGTGGTAGGTAGAGAAGCATCATCTTCAGCTTGCTAGCTGCACTCTTACTAATACGCTTTAGGAAGCAATTAGCCTCACTTTATGTGAGGGATGCTGCAACACTGAGTGATTTAGTATTTCTGCTAGAATTCATTCTTGGAATAAGCTACTTGATATGCCCAGTGGTTTGGAGTTTTTTGCAGGTGCAAAATTGTTCTCCAAAAACTAATTTGATGTTTCTTTTCAAACAAAACTTTTTTGTTTTATCTTTATCATGGGGAAAAAACCTCCAACTCTGTACATCAGTACAGTTATAACGAGGCTGCATGCAGCCTACAACAATAGTTTTGAGAAATTTGAGCATCCAATTTCCTCCCTCTCCCTCTAGTTATTTCAGGGTGGATTTCTGTTCAGATACTAGTCTTTGTGTCAACAGTAACTTTTTTTTGGTATAGGTAATTTCTGCAGAAATTGCTACTGGTGGTTTTTATCTTCCATTTCTATTTACCTTCATGCTTTTACGGTTGTGAGAAGCCTTCCCAGTTGCCACAGATCTGGCTTCCTGTTGGTTTCACTTATATTTGTGTTGTCGATACCAGAATTTTTAGTGTTTCGCAAATTTAGAGCCATAATAAAATCAAACTGCAGTGCTCTTCATAGTTGAGTTATTGGTTTCTTAATTTTTATCTGTAATTGAACAAAAGCTTTCTTGAAACTGTGGTAATATTTCCATTCTTCATTAAGTAGAAAAAGTAGATTTAGGCTCAAGTTGTCAGAATAACTGCAAGATTGCTATCTGTGAAGCCACATAACTGTTTATGTTTACTCTGTGCTTTAAAATCTAAGAGGATTGCATTTAGTCCTTGATCATGAAATGTGTTGAGAGAACATCACTTGTATTTGGCAGCAGGGAAGGAAAATGGAACCTCAGCACCTGGATATTGCAGATCGTTGCTTGTAACACTTCCAGGGATGGAGGAAGAATACTGATGTAGAAAATACTTTCTGGAAGAGAAGGCTAGAAATAGCCAAAAGGTGTTCTGTAAAATCAGGAAAATTACCATTAAAAAAGTAAATAAAAGTCTTTAGGCAGATTTTGAATCAGCACCAAGATGAAACACAGTGCAAAATCTCTTTTTTCTTCTGGAAGTATCTGCATTCAAAATCACAAGGATTTACACTAATTCTTTTGCTTCCATGTACCTGTGGGCCAGATTATATATGTCCTTTTAAAGTATAGTTAGACTTGTGAAAATACCATTAGAAGTCTGACTGTCATTGAATTCAGTGGTATTTGAGCATTATTATTGTTTTAAAAATTCTAGAAGATGCAGAGATTTTTATCAACAGTGTAAAAACTAGGAAACCAAGAACTATGCAGGGAAAAAAAATTATCTTTATGAAATACTTTAGAGGAGAAAAAGTGATTAGAAAAAGATATTTGTCTCAAATTGATAGCTAGAGAATTGAAGTATTGTGCAGTCACATTCTAGATTGAGAGTCAAGTTATTTTGAAAAGCTAAAGGGGGCTGCACTAGTTTTTTACTAAAACTGCTCATATGTTTTTGGAGATTCAAGAATACCAGGTCTATATGTATAAATTCAGAATTGTGGAGCAAAATACTTGGGTTAATTATCAGATATTCTTACATAGGATGAGAATTTGAAGGCAAATCTATGTTTGCTGGAAGTGAATGGCTACATGCTGATCAGAGATGCACGGTACACATTGAACAGAGAAAACAGAATTCTTCCAAATTAGCTTCTCTGCACTCCTTATTCTTTAGGAGTGTGCGCTTGTATGTACCAGTGGAAAAACCGGTGCACTTCCCATAGCTTTTGCTGTTGTTGTAGGACCTTGTCGTCTATTCTGTTCTTCCTGGAGGTATGGTACCCCTGTAATTTGGAAAAAAAGTGGGAAAAACACTCCTATTCATATCAAAACTCTTCTGCCTCCTTGTTTTGAAAGATAAATTCTGTTTCTGAGCAAGTCTGCCTTACAAGCTTAATGGTAAATGCTGTACTTCCTTCTTGAATTTCCCCTTAAATACATGGGTAAGTGTCCTTTTGGGGGTATTTTTATTCTTACATTACATGTTTTAAAAGGAAGCGTACCGATTTAAAACATTTGTATTTTATTGCAACTATTAGAAATTCTATGTTCTGTTTCTTCTCCTTTTAGGTGAGAAACCTTTTGAATGTAACATTTGTGGGAAACACTTCTCACAGGTGGGAATATTTTATATTATGGTACTTACATTTGAAAATGAAATGCATCTATGTGTTGATTCTAAAAATAGACTTGGTTTTAAGTCTATGGATATTTTCTGTTCAAAGACAGACTTCAGGGATAAAATATTAAAATGTCTTATTTGAAAATAACATGTTGAATGTTTTAGATTTCTTTGATATGTTTTGTACCTTTGATTCTGTCTGCTCTCAGTAGATGTGTTATGTATTTTACCTTCAAATGAATGTTTAACTATACAGAGACACAACTCTATTTGAAATACAGAGAACATTTATTCTCAGACTGTGCTTTTGCGTTATGCTTAGGGATATGTTGTGAATAGGATTTTTACGGTGTCTGAAAAAAATAACAGGTTAGAATTTTATATAATGTTGTATTCACAATACAGTTTCATTTTCCTAAATGGCATAAATTACTGAGCAGATTTTTTTGAGTCGGTTTCCTATGAAGAACAACAGCATGGCCTGTCTGAAGTGACAAAACTCAGCTATGATTTTAAAAAAACCTCTTGTGAAATTCCGTATTTAGATACAGTGCCTAAGCTTTAGCTGTCTTAATTTGCCCTCCAATGCTTGCTTACTCTTCTGGGTACAGTAATTCATTTGTATTTCTACAAATTTGGTGCCTAGTTGTCTCACATTTCCAAAATGTCTATTTCTTTTCTATTTTCTTGGTTGGAATATGTGCACTGAAGTACAGGAGACAGGTGCATAATTTTATACTAAGATTAAATAATAATTATTGTTGAATAACTTTGGTCTTTCTTATGGTTTAAAGATTAGAATTATGTGGTCTTTGTCTACCCACCCACCAGTGCTTGCGCTTCTCTTGCTCCAGTTTTGTAGTCCACCAGTGGGACTTCTTTGAGTCATGAATCTGATGCATTTTCATCCTCCACTCTTACTAAATATGAATGTAACACTGCATCCAGTGAACAATACTGTTTCACCATGCTTATCAAGCCATTTGAACAAAACTGGGTCTGCTTATTAGGCAAAGAAAGTGCATTTTCATTCATTCTGATGGCTGAAGTTCTAGTTATTAAAAGAAAAAAGTGAATGTTTCCAAATTCAATTAAAAGTACTTTTGGCAAATGGAGTGGTATTCTGTACCATTACTGTGGGGGAAGAGGGAATAAGAAAGCTTCACACACTCAGAGTATACGACAGGTATGACGCACTCCTCACGCAACATGCATTGCTCCTCTTTAATTACAAACAAACAAACAAAAACCCCAACAAACCTGGACATTTCTGCCTTTTAATTGAACACTCTTAAACACCTTCCCTCCTCTTCCCTCCCAATTACCTCACTTGCCCAAAGGTGTAGGTAGATACATATTGATGGACAATACCTACAGATCCAGGATCTGAGCCATAGCATTCAGCCTGTGTGCTGCAGTTCTTTCTCTGGTCATAAAAGGGAACTTGCATACTTCTCAGGTACTTGCTTTTGAATCGTGCAAATAAGTCAGACTCCACCTACCAGAAAGTAAGATGCAAGGATAATTACTACCTACTTTTTCCTTAAAAGGCCATCTCTGCTACTGTTCTTGATCCTCTCAGTTTGCAGGCACAGAAATAGTAACACTTTTCTTATTTAAGCTTTTGTGTTCTGTGCTTTTGAGACAGTGTAGTTGTTGTGCCTGGTAGTATGTCTGCTCCTGCTGACTGTAACTGGTGTTCCGCCTGTTGGAATGTGAAACAGAAAATGAAGAAAGCAGCAAAAATTGACATAGAAACTCATAGTCTGAAACAAATAACTATAAATGTCTTTGATTTTTGGAGAAAAAGGTTCCTTTTGTACTTACATGCCTGCATCTTCCCTTACTACTAGTACACAGCCTGTTGCTATGTGGTCCTTCTCTGGCTGGTGATCCAGGAGATCATGTTTTACCTCCTTGACTGCCTCCTTCTGCAGAGCTTCTTTTGGGGGACCATGTGCATTAGTTCCTTCACTTTAAAAGCACGCCAGTTACAAATGGACTAAGTCAAGCATATCTCTCTATTCTCCAAATTTGTGAGGAGTGGTATGCAACCAGTATCAGTAAGAGGATTCTTCTGAGCTTTTTTTTTTTTCACTGAAACGCTAGCAGAAGTCCTCTTATGCTTTTTCATTGGGATGGCCTATTATGCCTTAACCAAGGTTGTGTACCACCTTAAAAGCTTAGGAAGAATACAAGTTACGGATGTTTTTACCTTTTTTTTTTTTTGTCTCAGCACAGTTAATAACAAGATTTTGGCCTCATGAGGAGGAAGTAACATAGGCTTGTAATAAAGAAATGGATCTACTTGCTACTCTCTGTAAAATGTTTGTATTCGGGCTAAAAATGCCTGTATGGGAACTATTCCAGAATAATTGTTGCAATTGAAATTCATCCTCTGTCTTTATGCAGAATAACTTTCAAATGCCTATGGTATGGTTTGTTTTGTGATGTGGATAGAGGTAAAGGTTTTGTCTTTTGTATGCTTCTCTCAAATGCACCTCTGCGTAAAATCCCTTGTCTTTGCAAAGCACAAACTGCTCCATGGAGAAGTCAGTTTAGTCTTCTCCTTCCTCAGAAATGCGTGCCTAATGCCTCTCTGTGAATGGATTTCAGTATTACAAGGTTTGGCCTGAGAGAACCGTAGTTCAGTCATACTGGTGTCTGAAAAACTTTACAGGTGTTAAAGAAAGCTCTCTCGGGGTTCAAACAGTGATCCATTTAATATTGTCCTCTGTGTCTGTTTGTGTGTGTCTGGAGTACTTTAGTTCTGGTATGTTATAAGCTCTTATTACAGTGATTGATCATCACAGGTAATTTATTATCTAAAGGAGTCGGAAGAAATTACTGACAGGTCATATTTTTGTTGTCTTACTGTGACTAAGGAGGACATGATAATCTTTGCATCCCCAGTTTTCTTTCCTGATTGAAAGGACTTAATGTTCCTTTAGTGTACTTAGATAAAACCAGGCAGTTATCCATCAAAGAGAACAGAAGGATTAAAAACTGACTGTGGAAGTATGCACAATTTATGGAACATCTGCAGCTCTTCTATCCAGACTAGCTGTATCTTGTGCCTTGAGAACTGGTCTCTCAGTGGATTAGCCATTCAGAAGCACCAGTACCTTTAAAAAAAGGCTGGAATGAGTAAGATGCTTTTGTCTAGTCATTATCTGGTTTGCCTGCTAGACTAGCATGATTTTTACAGGATTGGGAGAGGAAAGATATATAATAAAAATTAGTTACCAGTAATCCCATTTGTTCATTTCTGTACTTCCTGTTCTGTTTTCTTTTGATATGAGTAAATATTTACAGGTTTGGAGCACTTGGCTCTAAGTATTTTATGGATTGAAAAATGTTTACCCTATTCTTTTCTTTTTAACCTCCTGGTAGGTGAATTCAGACATCCTAATGTAACGATACTTTATTTGTAGGACAGGGAAAATGAGACTAACATGAACCATATTACTAGTAAGTTTTCTTCTTCACTGCAATCTAGATAGTGTAATTTTCATTTATAATGGGATCTGTTTTCAACCATAGGTCTTTCTTTTTCCTTAACATTTGATTCCAGGCTTCTTTTTTATATTTTTTTTTTTCTGTTTTTGTCAATGTATAATTGCATACATAAGCAATTTGATCTTGAAGTACATGGTAGTCTGTCTTTACTAGATAAAAATGTTTGAGTTCCTACATGCTTTGTAGTTTTTACTGCCTTAGAATTAGGAATAAAAAGCCAATCTTATGGTTCCCATCATTGCCTTTTTACCTGTATACAACAACAGGCTAGCTGAATTTAAATGTTTGAATTACTGTCCCTTCAGGCAGGTAATCTCCAGACACATTTACGTCGACATTCTGGTGAAAAGCCATACATTTGTGAAATCTGTGGGAAAAGGTGAGTAGAATTGTTCATCTTAGTAAAGTTAACATGATAAAACTTTTTCATGTTTTCTTTAATCTTCATGATAAAGTCAGGGCCAAGAGCTAAGGCAGCATGCTGCTCAATTTTGTTTAAAAGACATTGGGTTTAAATGTGTACTGATGGGATTAAAATACATAAATGTCTGCAAGTGTCTTGTTGCAAGTCTCAATAATAAGATAAACATGTCACCACATACATAGTCCGTGGTCTGACTTAATTTTTTGTATATTGGTATCTTTACTTAAGGATATACTGTTGTGTGTATTTTGAACAGTGTGAGTCACAATAAATCATGCGGTTTTGTACCTTTCCCTCACATTTTTTTTTCATAGAATTTTTGTTACATTTTATGGAAATCATGAAGTGTGGGAAATTTGACGAATTTAAGCAAAGCATTAAATATTTCTGCCTTCTGCTAACAGGTGACAGAAAATACACTAATTTAGGAATAGCATTTGTACTTAAACTAAGTCAAATGCAGAATAAATTAGTAACATTAATGGTGAAAAGGGGTGGTTTTTTGTTTTTTTTCCTAGCATAAATTTAATTGGACATTGCCAGCTTCAAAATGTTTTTCTTAAATGCCTCCATTTATCTGTGTTTTAGATTTTAATCTTTGTTTAGAGCATCAGGCATTCATTATAGTTGATTTACACATGATACTCACTTTAGGAGAATAAGGGGCTTATAAAGACAGTAATTGGGTTTTCGTATTCTGTTACAGATTTGCTGCTTCTGGTGATGTTCAGCGTCATATTATTATTCATTCTGGAGAAAAGCCTCATCTGTGTGATATCTGTGGCAGAGGTATGTAAGAACCAAAGTTTCTGCTTCTGAGGTTTTTTGATTGAAATGTGAGGAGTCATTTTAATCTCAGGGTCTGTCATATTTTTCCAGGATTCAGTAACTTCAGTAATTTAAAGGAGCACAAAAAGACCCATACAGCAGATAAAGTATTCACCTGTGATGAATGTGGGAAGTCATTCAACATGCAACGAAAATTAGTAAAGCACAGAATTAGGCATACCGGAGAGAGACCATACAGCTGTTCAGCATGTGGTAAGATATACTATGCATAGCTTGGTTGTGTCTTTGCTTTTTAAATGATAAGTAAAAGCTCCTATGTCAGCAGAATAACAATTAACCAAAATGATTTTAAATTGAAATACCGTGTTGTGACAAGTTTTTCACAAAATCTTCTGTCTTGCATACTTCAGTCTTTCATTTGGCGTATTAAACTCCTTTAGCTGTTGTAAATAAGTTCAAAAGTGAATTTCAGTTGAATAGAGAAAGGAAGTAAGAGGAATCAACATGGGATGTGTACATGTTTGCTAGAGAAGTACTGATACTAGCTGCTTCAAAAATTGATTTATTTTCAGTATAGTCCTTTCTGATGGAAAGCTAGGTTTTGCATCACTTGGCTATCGATGGACTTTTTTTTTTCTTTCCTTCCTTTTCTTTTTTTCCCCCAATTGAATACTGTTCAGATATAACTGCAGTCAACCACAGAGTTGATAATAATAACCTTTTGCTACTGTGCTTCAACCTCTGGAATAAAATCAAAACTTGATCAATGCTTCATACCAGAGAACACCGGTTTTCAAAATCTGCTAGGTAGGTCATGCTTCCAGGTGGTCTGAAAATTGCTCTTTGATCAATGATTCATCCTTGTATAACATAGACATCCTTGCATTGTCTGTCCTTATCTCATATGTTACTTAGCATCCTCCTTGCTATTTACTTTTCTGTCCCTAAGTGCTCTTTTGGTATAATTTCATTCATGTTCTGAGGAATCAGCTTTGGAGGGGTAGCTCTATATGATAATGTCCAACTGCAGTATGTTTTATGTATAATGTCTTGAGGCACAAGAAAAGCTAAACTTATCAGGAGGTCTTGCATCAGAGGGAGGAAATATAGACATGCAGGATATGAAAGTATAAACAAACAGTTGTGTTGCTGTCATTAAAACAGGCTCATTTTCATCTTGTCTTGTAGAGCTCTTTTGATTATTTTTCATTTTAGCTGGGTCATCTTGTACTGAGAAGGCAAAAATTGTGCAAAGAGGATCTGATCTATAGTTAGGAAATCATTCGCATTATGCAAAAAATCCATATGTATTATTCCAGTAATTTATAATCTTACTGTTACTGTTTAATGGCTTTTCTGAAGAGAAATCTGAGCAGTAGAATGAAAAGTATGATGCCAAAAACTGAGACTGTGGTTTTACTGGGCCTTCAGATAACGCAGTTCATTTTAGTTGGTATCTGTCCACACAAAATAAAATAATCTTTAACCTAGGTAAAATGAGATAAAATCACAAATATGTACCAGCTTATTTCTACTATCCTAAAGAATGTGAGGCGTTTGAATCATGTAGCAATTCTGGAAACTAATGCTCTCTTGTTCTCCTTGTTCTTCTACGCTTTGCCTGGGTTCAGCCTCAGACACTTTCTTCTTTGCACCGTGGTAATTGAGCTTATTTGAGCCTGTGGTTCTGAAAATAGGAAAACAGTTGACTATTTTATTGTTTTCTAATATTTACAGCAATAAAAATTTACAGTTTTGGTACATTCTCTGGCTAGAACATAAAAAATGGACGGCTGCATTACGTTTGCTCAAAGTTAACAAAAAAGCTAACTTTGTCTGCACTTTAAGAATAGTTCCTTGGTAATGAAGAAACTATTACTTTCTGTGATGCAGTTCTCACTGGAAGAATATATTTACAAGCTTATCAGCACACTTTTTCCAGACAGATGAGTTAAATTGATTATTTTTAATTTTTTTTCCTCCACGAAGATTGATACAAACTGCGAGCACTCACAGCTTTCAAATACTAATGGATATTCCCATCTCTGGAGACAAAAACTAAAGCACTGGGAAACACAAGTTAGAAAATCAGATCAAGAAGAAGAAACAAGTCATTGAATTGTAAACATAGATGGAACTTGTTTGAACCTCTTCTAGATAAACAAAGTACCATGACTGGGACATACCATACCTTATCTCTTGACATTTTCTCTAAATAAAACATGTTTATGCATTTGTATTAAGAACAAAATCTTAATATATCCCTTCTGTCTTGTAGGGAGTAGGGAAATGTTTTGCAGGCTCTGGTGACCTGCGTAGACACGTGAGGACTCATACAGGAGAAAAACCTTATACCTGTGAAACTTGTAACAAATGCTTCACTCGCTCTGCTGTTCTACGGCGGCACAAGAAAATGCATTGTAAAGCCACTGATGAAGGTCCAAACACACTAGATGAATTTACTCAAGGGATTGAAACTTCTGATCTTGACAAATCTCAGAGTTCTGACTCTTTCGGCCAAGAAATGTCTGTTACATTGTTACCAGTGTCCGTTAAATTTCCCATTCGTCCAACTGCAAATTCAACTGAATTTGATAGTTCTGCAGATTCTTACTGTAAGTTGCGGTCAATGATTCAACACCATGACTCAACAAACCAACAGAAACTGAATGTGGATTCTGCTAAACTCCCAAAAGCTCAGACACAACAAACTCCTCCACCACCGCCATATGCTTATGCAGATGTAGATGTATCTTCTGCAGAAGAACCCTTACAGTCTGATAATATTCCCATGATTCGTTCCTCTATGGTTAGCTTGGACAGTCATTGTAATGATCCACTGGGCAGCCGAACATCATCTGCTGCATACAAGAATAATGAAGGACCGTTCTTCTCCAGCATGACCCTCTGGGGTTTAGCTATGAAGACCTTGCAGAATGAAAGTGAATTGGAACAATAAGGGCTCAGGTGACTGTATCAAAACTTCTTAGAGGCATTTCATGCTAAAGTAATTGTGCTTGCACTGCAGCATAGAGAGATGAGAGCTAGTTTTTAAGCCAACTAGCTTGGATACTGGTAGAAATCAAGATACGCATGCCCAGAGCCAACGTAGGCTGCCTTTACACTGCTTCTCAGCAAAGTTCAAATCTAGTTTCGAGGACCTTTTGTGTTCTGTGACTGCACTGCGTAGCTCATGTGTTGCCAGGATTTACTAAAATTTACCGTTTACTAAATTTACCATTTAACTTGGTATTTTTTACCTGATAACGGAGGAGAGAATGGTCCAATGTCTAATTTCGTGATATGGGTGCAATTCGAGTATGGGTCATCAGAGTTGTGTAAGGGTGTAGATAGGAAAAGAGGAAAATATTTAACAAATCCCTAGTGAACCTGAGTTTCAGTAGTGGCTTTCTTACCAGTAGGACCATTGGTTTACATGACTTGAGTATTGTGATATTAAATTTAAATGTTAAATACTGGACAATATTTGTGATAGTGCAAAGTAACTGTATATCTAGAAACTTTATTTTTTTACAATAAAAGCTTTTTTTAGTATTTTATAAACTATTTTGCACAGCAGATTATTTGTACAATGAAGACCAAGATCAGGAAATGCGAATAAAGGGAACTTGTTTTACATTGTATCTTAATTGCTCAATGTGTTTCATCTTTTTATGAAAGATTTTCAATAACATAATTCCATCTATTCCAGGTATCTTTACAATGCTAATGGGGATACCACCGCAAGAAGAGCTGCACTGTAAAATAAGTGCAATCAATATACCAGTAGATGGTCTTAAATTTCAGTGAATTAGTGTAGAACATTGGCTAATTAATGGAATGAATAGACTTCTACAGGATAGAAACTGCTTAGAGGCCTCTTTCTGCTTTGCTGGCTTGAATGGTTGTATTAATTTTCAGTGCAGATCTGTTGCTGCATTTCAAACTGCTCGCTACAGTCACATGAGTTTTACTGGCCTGACTTTTTCCAACCCATCAAAAAGTTTTAGCAGTGTGTTGTGAAACTTTATGCTAAAACATTCCTACTACCTCCTGTAGTTTCTGAAATGAAAATATCCTTGTACTAACCTTTTTTCTGAAGTTCATTCACAGGCTGGAAAGTCTGTCTGAAGTACATATTTTTTATTTCCTATAAGGAGTCTCAGTGTTCACCACTAGTGAGACAGCTGTGAGTACTGGTATCTAGTATTACATGATGAGTCTGCAAGACTTCAGAGTTGCACTTGCATGAAAAATAGTCCAACATCTATTTGGGACTACAAAATCACATAAAACCCCCAAACATCTGGTTATATAAAAAATTTGGTTGTGAAAAGCAGCATTTTGGAAGCTGAGAAGTAGATTTCAGTGTTTTGCAACAGCTAACAAGATCTGGTATCACCGCTATTTTAATAACACTGCAGTTCCTCTGCTGAAAAAATCATGTTTGTGTAAAACTAATAGCTGGAACTGTCTAGTAATTTACATGTAATGTCACATTTTCCTGGTATTAGAAAATACTTTGTCACTTGTATCCCACTGAAGCACAAAAATTCAAGTCTATTATAATTGGCTAGTTCCTGGTAGAACAAGAATTAGTTTTGGTAGAACAAGAATTAAGTTTTGCTAGAACAGGAATGTAGACCACAGGTGACTTATAGTCCACTTATAGTTCAGAGCCTGGAAAATACAGTATTTTTCATATTTTTGAAGTGCTCACCACTTTTTTTCCCTTCAGGAATTCAAAACTAGCTGTTCAGTTTCTTATTGTGTTAACACCATCCATTGCAATGCGTGGCCTCCCTTCCTTTACTTGGGCCCTGTACCTTCCTGTTTTTAACTGCTTTCAACCTGAGTTGAAATGAGAAAGGTAATATTGCTGGCCAGAGCATAGCACTCCTTAAAACAAAAGGGGCAGAACATTGCACAGTGTATGTAAGTCCTGAAAGATACAAATTTCTCTCAGTTGTCATTTAATGTTATGAAAAACTTTTTTTCACTGCATGAACAGAGCCGTTAAAAAAAAAAATCCAGATGCACTAGAGAGCAAATCAGGAATTTTTTTCACCTTTCTTTTCTTGTAGTGCATATATGCTAGGAAATTCTAAAACATCTATATTTTTCCAGCCAGTGAAGTCAAAACAAGCTTTTGCAGTGCCTAATTTTAAAAATAGCATGTAGGCTAGCAGAACAGTCCCACATAGGCTTAAGCAGGGAACACTGTATATTTGAACACTTAGCTCCTCTCTCATTCATTTTCTTTTACATTATTTGCTGATGAACACTGCAAATCTTTGTGGAAATCATCCACATGCTATTCAGCAATCCATGTATCATGGTTCTGTCCCTGACCATGTGTGCTCACGCTCGCTGTCACTCTGCTTTCCTTGCAGTAGTGCCTAAGGCAAAATGTGGGTATTTGCCAGTCACTAGCTCTGTAGCTTTCCCCTTGTCAGAAACTATTTTTAGATTTACTTGTCCCAAGAGAAAATAGAAATTTGATTCTGTTCCCATAAGGATTCTGTTCCTTGGAAAGGACAAATCTGCAATTTGTGAACCTCCTAACTTTTTAGTTGCCTCTGGTTCTGCAATGGTTTTGCTTTCTCTGTTGTATTTGGTGGAGTCGGTACAGGGTAAGTTTAAAACAGACCACGTTGCAACCTTTGTGCTCTTATAACAGTATTGAAGGCCTGTACGCTTTGTTTTGGAGGAATGTGTTATTGCTGAAGACTGACTTAAAGTGAAAACGGCATCTTGAGATGCTTGTAAGCATATAGATTAGATTGCTAGGGATGAAGCGCTTTGTGCCGAGAGGACAGTCATGTTGCACAAAGGATAACTCCTCTTGCTTGGCAGTATTTCTTTCTGTGAGACTGTTTCACACCAAACCCATGAAGGTTCTCAAACCTGCTGCCAGATCGTGAATACTGTTTGCAGTTTGGGGACTTTGATAAAACACCATGTTGCAATGTGGGATCTTGGAGAAGGAAGTAGAGGAAACACTGGTAGGAGAAAGCAGTCCATCTGAGTTTGTGCAGCTGCAACCAGAAAAAGCCGGAGTTGCAGCACTGGGCAGGAGCACCAAGAACTGTTATTTCTAGCTGGCTTGAAGGAAAAGCTGACCAAGAGAGAAAATTCAAAAGATGAGTAGATAGATGGAGTCAGATGGAAGAGAATGAATTTTTATGTATGAAGTAAAGTTTCGGATTAAGAAGCCCTATCCCTGCAGCCACTTTGCAGGGAGATTATCACTGCCTGGCTGCAAGAAGATGTATTTTGCTTTTGTGTTTCCAAAATCAAATATAGTATGTCATGTCAATTTAGTATTGTCTCGTGCTTTTCTCAGTGAGACCTCTGTAGAAAATTACCTCGGAAGAGGATCTTTTTCTGTATCCTAAGAATTTCCTATGCCAACCCGTAGGTCCATAATGAAGAGGATGTTTGAGTGGGAATAGCAAATACGGTCCGATAGTCCTAATGCTGCCATAAAGCTGGCACAATTGGAAAACAGCAGCTACCCTGTGACTTTGAAGAACAGGTGGAAACCGTGACATAATTATTGAGCCAATAGCATTGCACAAGCAGCAGACGCCCAGCCATAGCTATTGCTCATAAATATCCATAGCCAGCGTGCCGAGGGCGATGAATAAGCATCAGTCAGTTGGTTAGTAGCAGGCACTGCTGAAGCGCCATTATAATCGGGGTAAATGGCATGCTATTTGAAAAAAAAAAAAAGTTAACCAACCTTGCATAGTAAAATTGAAGGACTGCTAATTGTTATTTATTAGAATAGCTATCCTGCAGTTCAGAGTTGCTGTTCAGTTCATCTTGCAGACTTGAATCACTTTTGTTTCCAGAAGATGCAGGTAACTGCTCAGGGCTTAGTTTGGGTTTGTTCAGTGCAGAGATATCTCTGTCCTTTAACTCTTGCACAATACAAAAGAATTAAATTATAGTGGTGTTTAAACTTTTGAAGGCATTACTGTCATTTTTGGATGATTTAAGTGCATTAAACCTATAAAAATTTAACCTGCCATTTTTATGTGGGTATGTTTTCTGTGTGCACATAGGAAAATGATACATAGTATAATTCAGTCTAAGTTCAAATAATTCCCTCTCCAAAAAAAAAATCCTCTGCTTATCTTGAGACTCATGATCTAGTTTAGTTACAACCGAAAAATGTTTAATTGTTTAACTGAAGTTGTTTAAGGAAGGAGAACCTCCCTAGGAAACCACTTGTTTATTACCTGTTGCCATTGAGCACGTATAGTGTTTTTGTGGTCTGAGACTTTATCTGCATTCTCTCATACTCTGTTTAAACCTGGCCTGCTAGATGTTTTGCAGTTTCTTGAATTCAGAGATTGGGCTTTAGAACACAGCACTTGTGCTTTGTTTCCATGGCTTCTTCAGCAAGTCCAAATAGGCTTAAACTCCTGTTGATAATTTTATAGGGAAGTAATTGCTACACATGAAGTCTTCCCAAAACATCTAAGTGGCATATACAAGAGCAAGCCAAATTTAAGACAAAATCGGTGTGAAGCAAGTGGAACTGGCCCCACAGGCCATTTGCTTCTGGAATCCACTTTTTTCTTTCCTTTCATTGTCTTCCCCGCTGTGGGTAGCTCCATTCATACGTGGACAGCTGCATTCAATTCTTGCTGCTCACTTCATGCCACTTACCCACCCCTCATAATCCAGACCAGAGGTTAACATATTCAAGCTCAGTGAGGAAAACAGTAGAGGCATATAGGTAAACAGAGTCCCACATAGTTGTAAAACTCTATAAAAAATCTCCAGTCTCCATGTTTTGGAGTGTGTGCTGGGATTTTGGATATTTAGGTGTCTTGCTAAAGAGCTTGTTTCAGAAGTGGTGCGTAAAAGAAACACGACAAGAAATGTAGATGGTCCTGCTTGTACGAAAGGCTTAATAGAAGGCAAGCAAACGTGAGCTTTGCAGGCAGATTTGAAGGAGGAAAATGTGATAGCTTGGGAAATACGTTCTAATGACAACTGAAGGGCCTTAGATGCAGCTATTTTGTAATTCAGTATGCTAATGACTTCAAAGT